TGGGAATTAATTTCATTCAGCAAATTTGATTCTGTGTGTGTGTGTGTGTATGTGTGTATACATATATATGTGTGTGTGTGTGTGTGTGTATATATATATATGTATATATATGTACACACATATAGGATTCAAGTTGTATACGTAGCACTATGCTAGGACTTTGGACTGTATAATACATGGACCTTGACTCAAGCAGTTTACAGTCTAGTTGGAATATAAGAAAGAAGTACACAGAAAAGAAAGACACCATATAAAGTTTAGAATTCTGCAATTTAGGAAAGGGAGAGCATAAGCTTGAAATAGTCAGAGAAGGTTTCACACAGAAGGTGGTACAGTTAGCTGAACCCTGAAGTCTACTGCTTTGGCAAGGCATAGACTGTCCAAGTTGATTGGGACCTTAGAGAATGTCTGTATCAACCCAAACTTGAAGAGAAGTCCTTTTGACAGCATTCTCAGTAACTTATTATCCAGTCTCTACTTTAAAGCCCTTTTTTAAAGGAAGAACTCACTACTTCTCTGTGTGCCTCCGTTTCTTATTTTACAAAAGGAGAGGGTTATACTAGTGATTAACATTCATTCAGCAAGCTTTTCTTAAGCACTGTGCCAAGTATTGTTCTAGGTGCTGGAAAACAGTTCCTGTCCTCAAGGAGCTTACATCCTTAAGGGTTAGAGGCTCAGTTAGAAGTAAGGCAGGGTGGGGTGGAGCTCCTTGGTCTAACCTGCCTGTCACACAATATGAGGGAAGCCATTATGAAAATCCCTCTGACTGATATCTATAATTAATACATGCAGGATCAGGGTTTTTTGGTGAAAGGCTCTGTAAACCAAAGGAGTTTTTGAGGAAAGCTTGCAGAATAGTATATATTATGAAGCTTTTTGAAAAGACACAATGTGTTATGGTAAAAGAAACACTGGACCTAGAGTCAGATAACCTGGATTCAAATTCCTGTTCTGCTACTTGACTGTCAGTATAACCATAGATAAGAACATCATTTAACCTCCATGCATCTCATTTGCTTCCTCTTTAAAATGAGACAAGCACACTAGATGATGTCCCTGAAGTCCCTTCCACCTCTAAATCCTTTGGAGACCCAGTTGAAAGTTAAGGTGCTGATTCTGTTTATCTGAAATGGAGGCAATGTGTTGTGGTAGGAAAAGCTTTGCACTAGGCGTGAGGATGCCTGCTCCAGCACTGGCTTTGCTGTCAATTAGCTGTGTAACTTTAGGCAAGTCATTTGTTCCCTTTGAGGCTCAGTTTTTCTCTTTTGTAAAATATTGTATCATTTAGCTTTAAAATTATATGATTCAGTGATTAAAAACAAAAACAAAAACATTGTGCTCTGCGACGCACAAACTTGGGCCCAGGTAACAATTTGGAATGCCTACATTTTCTTTCTTTGGTTTGAATCAGCCACGGAGAGATGTTTTCAATGTGGCATCTGAAGGGAATTAAACATCTAACTTCTATTATTGAAAGTGGGACAATGAGTCACTGTGCATTGCCTCAGAAATGCAGTGTGGTGTTACTTAAACATGTTTTTTTGATATTTTAATATTTTTCTGTATGAATCACAGGTGAAATGTACATGCCCACGTGTAAACAATTTTGTGCTTTCGTTTTTTTTTTAAAACAGTGAATTTAGGAATGTGCTCTAGACACTAACCATTCTGCTTTTATCAGTATATGGGAAAAGCTTTTGTATTTTCTGCAAGAGATGAAGTCACTAACTATAGATACAGGCAATTGTTAGTGGTCATCAAGAGGTCATTTAAGCCTCTATCTCTTGCCCTTCAGCAGTGTTCTACCCAGGCTGTTCTGAAAGACTAAGCTAGCCATTAAAATTCTCTAGGTCAAGGATACAGAGCATTTATTTCTATGAATGGACCGTTGACTTACATCAGTTGAAGGCCACACACAAACTAGAAAAGAATTTAATGAGATTTTCTAGAGAGAAAGTACTATAACATTCAGTCCAACAAATAATTGTTAAATACCTAGTATATGCCAGGGTCTCTGATCAGTGTGGAGTATCCAGAAATGAATAAATGGTGTAGACCCTACTGATAGAAAGGTTTACAGTCCAATAGTAGGCAGTACAGTGTGGAAGATAGGCCCTAGACTTGGAGCGAGAAAACCTGAGTTTGAAATCTGGCCCTGCCCCTGAGTGCTGGCCTTGGAGTTAGGAAGATATGGGTTCAAATTCTGCCTCAGACATTTAATAGCTTTGTCACACTGACACAGGTCACTTAACTACCTTTGGTTTCAGTACCTTATCTGTGAAATGGTGGGAGAAAGTGTTTAGATTTGATGAATTCTTATGTCCCTCCTTCCAGCTCTAGATTTATGCTCCTATGAAGGAATAATGGTAGAGTAAGAGAGAGTGGGATAAGGACATAGGAGAGATGAGGCTGACATGATTAGATATAAAGGAACATGGAGTGGTGGCCAGGACAAGGAGTTTCAGCTTAGGTACACAACTCAAAATCATAGGGATAATGAGTGGTAATTTATTGCCCTATGGCTCTACTCAGAATCTTAGGGCAGCAGATTGTTATGACCTCAACAGTAGCAATGGTAAGGTTAATTTTATTATCAATCCCATAGCAAGTGGGGGAGGGGGGTGTCTAGGGGCAGGGAATGTACATATATGGAGGCAGGTAGTTAGATAGAGAGACCCTAGTCAAGGAGAGAGTAAGTGAAGTCAGAGGGCCTAGCCCAAAGTGTTTAGACATGTGAACTCTCCCTTAGGGCTTACTGCAACAGGCTTCATACTGGGAGCCATTGAGGAGGCTAATAAAAAGGAGGCGGGACTGAGGGAGGCATTAGTCAAAAGCAAAACACTAGTGAAGAGAGAAAGGGAGAAAGGAGAAAGAAAAGCATAAACAAGGGGAAAATAGGATGGAGAGAAAGACACAGATAGTAATCATAACTGTGAATGTGAATGGGATGAACTCTCCCATAGAACAGAAGCGGATAGCAGAATGGATTTAAAGTCATAATCCTACAATATGTTGTTTACAGGAAACACATTTGAAACAGAGGGACACACACAGGGTAAAGGTAAAAGGCTGGAGTAGAATATATTATGCTTCAGCTGAAGTTAAAAAAAAAAAAGCAAGGGTAACAATCCTGATCTCAGACAAAGCAACAGCAAAAATAGATCTAATCAAAAGAGATAAGGAAGGAAACTACATCCTGCTAAAAGGCACCACCGACAATGAAGTAATATCATTGCTAAACATATATGCATCAAATGGTATAGCATCCAAATTCTTAGAGGAGAAGTTCAGGGAGTTATAGGAAGAAATAGACAGCAAAACTATACTAATGGGGGACCTCAACCTCCCCCTCTCTGAATTAGATAAATCTAACCACAAAATAAACAAGAAAGAAGTTAAAGAGGTGAATAGAATATTAGAAAAGTTAGATATGGTAGACCTCTGGAGAAAATTGAATGGGGATAGAAAGGAATATACTTTTTTCTCAGTGGTACATGACACATACACAAAAATTGACCATGTACTAGGGCAAAAAAACCCCCTCACAATCCAGTGCAGAAAGGCAGAAATATTAAATGCATCTTTTTCAAATCTTGATGCAATAAAAATTATATGTAATAAAGGGCCATGGAACGATAGACTAAAATTAATTGGAAACTAAATAATCTAATCCTAAAAAATGAATGGGTCAAACAACAAATCATAGAAACAATCTATAACTTCATTCAAGAGAATGACAATATTTAGACAACATGCCAAAACTTTTCTACCTATCTCCTTTGCCCAAAAGCAGTTCTTAGGGGAAGTGTTATATCTCTAAATGCTTATATGAACAAAATAGAGAAAGAGGAGATCAGTAAATTGGGCATGCAGCAACAACAACAAAAAAGAAACCTAGAAAAAGAACAAATAACAAATCCTCAATTAAACACCAAATTAGAAATACTGAAAACCAAAGGAGAAATTAAGAAAATTGAAATTAAGAAAACTACTGAGCTCATAAATAAAACTAAGAGCTGGTTTTATGAAAAAACCAATAAAATATATAAACCTTTGGTTAATTTAATTTAAAAAAAAAGAAAGAAAGAAAAAAGAAAGCCAAATTACCAGTATCAAAAATGAAGAGGATGAATCTACCACCAAGGAAGAGGAAATTAGAACAATAATTAGGAATGATTTTGCCCAGCTGTATGCCAATAAATTTGATAATCTTAGTGAAATGGATGGATATTTATGAAAATGTAAATTGCCCAGCTTAACAGAAGAGGAAATAAAATACTTAAATACCCCATCTCAGACAAAGAAATTGAACAAGCCATTGATGAACTCCCTAGGAAAAAATCTCCAGGGCCAGATGGATTTACAAGCAAATTGTATCAAACATTTAAAGAATAATTAATTCCAATACGATATAGATTATTTGGGAAAATAGGCAAAGAAGGAGTCTTAGCCAAATTCTTTTTATGATACAAATGTGGTGCTGATACTTAAATTGAGAAGAGTCAAAACAGAGAAAGAAAATTATAGACCAATTTCCCTAATGAATATAGATGCAAAAATTTTAAATAAAATATTAGCAAATAGATTACAGCAACTTATCACAAGAATAATGCCCTATGACCAGGTAGGATTTATAGCAGGAATGCAGGGCTGATTCAATATTAGGAAAACTATCAGCATAATTGATTATATCAGCAACAAAACTAACAGAAATCACATGATCATCTCAATAGATGCATACTGGCAGCCATTGTGAAGGGGGAGGAGTACAAGGCAGATGGTGAGTGGCTCGTTCTTCCTAATTGTCATGATAGGACCTAGGGGAATTCTAAGGGACTGGTTGATTATAAAGGGCTTAAAGTATTTTGGAGAGGTACCCTCTAGTTCTTCATTCAGTTCATCTCTAAATGAGTGCATCCATAAATGAATTAATGACTATTCTGAATGCTTACCCATTTCATGTTTGTGTTGTTTTTGCTTTTTTCTTTCTCTTTTTGCAGCTGAGATATCAACATGGGCTAGGGACTCCTGATTTAAGACAGACTCTTCCTAACCTGAAAAATTTCATGGAGCATGGGCTGATGGTCAGATGGTAAGTCCTTTGGTTTCAGTTGTAAAATAGCCAGCTATAACACCACGGGCAGTGTTTCTGAGAAGCTTTCCTTAGACTACTATAGCTCTCCACCTTGTGTCAGAAATTATAGAATCCTAGAATCTCAAAATTAGAAATACCCAAAGAAGAATACTCAAGCAACATCCTGAAAAGTGATCTAGCAATAGGAAACACATCACTTTATGCAGCAGTTCATTCTATTTTTGTATAGTTTTAATTGGTAGAAAATTCTTCTATGTATTTCAATTAAAATCTGTCTCTACAACATTCACTCATTGTTTCTAGTTCTGTCCTCTGTGGCCAGGTAAAGGGAATTTAATGTCTTTTCCATATGACAGCCCTCCAAGTGCTTGTTGCTTATCTGCCTCCCCTTCCTCTCTCTTCTCCCACTCCACCCCCAACCATGCTAAACATGCCCACTTAATATAACTGATCCTGATATAACATGATTTTCAACTCCTTTTATATCCTGGGCACTCTTCTTTGGACTAACTTTAGGTTGTATACTTCTTAAAATATGCTGTTCATTACAATTAGGATAACCCAAGATTTAGCAGCTTCTACATTAAAGGACCACAGGGCATGGAATATAATATTCCAGAGGGCAAAGGAGATAGGATTACAACCAAGAATCACCTACCCAGCAAAACTGAGCATAATCCTTCAGGGGAAAAAATGGTCATTCAGTGAAATAGAGGACTTTCAAGCATTGTTGATGAAAAGACCAGAGCTGAATAGAAAATTTGACTTTCAAATACAAGACTCAAGTGGAACATGAAGAGGTAAGCAGGAAAGAGGAATCATAAGAGACTTATTAAGGTTGAACTGTTTACATTCCTGCATGGAAAGATGGTATTTGTAACTCATGAGACCTTTGTCAGTATTAGGGTAGTTGGAGGGAAAAAATTATATGTATGTATAGATAGATAGATAGATAGATAGATAGATAGATAGATAGATAGATAGATAGATAGATAGATGGCACAGGGTGAGTTGAAGATTAAGGGGTCATATCTGGAGAATAAAATTAAGGGATGAGAGAGGATTATACTAGGAGAAGAAGAAAGGGAGAGGTAGAATGGGGTAAATTATCTCACAAAAAAAACAGAAAAGATAAGGCTCTTACAGTGGAGGGGAAACGGGGGAAGGTGAGAGGAAATGAGTGAATCTTATTCTCATAGGATTTGGCTTATGGAAGGAATAACATACACATTCAATTGGGTATGGAAATCTGTCTTACCCTACAGGAAAATAGGGGGAGAAGGGAATAAAGAGCAGGGGGATGATAGAGAGGAGGGAAGTTTGGGAAAGGGGGTAATCAGAAGCAAATACTTCTGAGGAGGGACAGGATCAAAAGAAAGAATAGAATAAATGGGAGGGCAGGATAGGACTAAGGGAAATAGAGTTAGTTTTTCACAACATGTCTACTAAGGAAGTGTTTTGCATAATTGCACATGTATGATCTATATTGAGCTGCTTGCCTTTTCGGTGAGGGTGGGTGGGGAGGGAGGAAGGGAGAAAATTTGGAACCCAAAGTTTTAAAAACATATGTTTAAAAAAGAATGTTTTCACATGCAACTGGGAAATAAGAAATACAGGAAATGGGGTACAGACGTCTATCCTGCTCTACAGGAAAATAGAAGGGGAAGGGGTAAGAGAAGGGGGGAGAGATAGAAGAGAGGCCAGACTAGGGGAAGGGATATTCAGAATGCATGCCATCTTGGGGTGGGGGGAGGGGCAAGATGGGGTAAAAATTTGAAACTCAAAATCTTGTGGAAGTAAATATTGAAAAGTAAAAATAAATAAATTTATATTTTAAAATATATATATGCTGTTAAGAACTGAGCATGATACTCCAAATGTGATTCACCCAGGGCAGAGTACAAAAGAGCTCTCAGCTCCTTCATTCTAGATACTACACCATTTTTAATAGTGCCCAGGGCCAGTTAATTTTCTTGGCTGCCTGGTGAGACTTGTCAAACTCATATCAAACTTGTAGAGTCTACTGCAAGACTGTTCCTTACTCCTACTGCTCTATAGCCATGTTTGCCCCATCTCATACCTTTATTGTGGACTTATTAACCTAAGTATAAGACTTCAAATTTATCCCCTTAATATCTCTTGAAGTCAAAAATTATGATTGATTTGTAGCTTTGCTTTCATAGTAAGAAGTTTGAAGAAAAAAAAAGACAGATATACTTCTCGTTCTTAAGAAAATAAATTTGAATTTGATAACTAGAAAGTTAATTTTAAAAAAACTACTGGAAATTCTGTTGCAATTATGTATTGTATCATAGCAACAAGAAAGAAATTATCTGTGAGACCTTTGGCCAGTAACTGTTTGTTGCTAGGCTTCGGTAAAATGGGAGGTGGAGGCGGAGGAGCTGCACATGATAATCTGTAAAGAACTCTTCCACAGGGCAGCTAGGTAGTGCAGTGGATAGAGCACTGGCCCTGAAGTCAGGAGGACCTGAGTTCAAATCTGGCCTCAGACCAAATACTTGACACTTACTAGCTGTGTGACCCTGGATAAATCACTTAACCCCAGTTGCCTTTAAAAAAAAAAAGAAAGAAAGAAAAAGGAACTCTTCTACAACACTGCATTGTGGCTGAGGAAGGGTGAGGGTTGGGAAGGTACAAGAAGTCCTAGAAAAAAGAAGTTAATGAAAAGAGTATAAAGGATAGAGATCTGCATTCTTTTATCCCAGGCCTGCCACCGTCTTGCAGTGTAGTTTTTGAACATATACATTTAACCTTTTAAACTTTGATTTTTCTCAAATGTAAAATTGAGGTAATAGTACCTCTTTGGCCTAACTGACTGGATTATTACCTTGCTCAAATGCTGTAAAATATTGGAAAATAGTAAAATACTGTCCATATGTGAGGCACAAATGCAGTCTGATTTTCTCAAGTCAGGTAGATAAAAGGGAAGCATTTCTTTTTTTTTTCCTTTTTAATCTATACATCAATACATTAAAATCACATAGGAACTAGACTTTAATCTGTTTAGAATCACATTCAAGAGCGTTGTGGACCACAGGTGGTTTACATCTGTGCAATGAATACCCTCGGTGATGAAATTGAAGATCTACTGGAGTAGCCAAAAGCTAGCTCTATATTCAAAACTCTAACTTGTGAATCTTTTTTTTTTTACCATTCTAAATATTTTTCCCAATTATATAAAAAACAATTTTTAGCATTCCTTTTTAAAATTTTGAGTTCCAAGTTTTCTCCTTCCCTTTCTCTGTTCCCCTCTCCCTGAGATGATAAGCAGTTTGATATAGTTAATATATGTGCAATCATGCAAAACATATTTCTACCTTAATCATGTTGTGAAAGAGTACACAGATCCTCCCCCCCCCGCAAAAAAAAAAAGTGAAAAGTAATAGTATGCTTTGATCTGCATTCAGACTCCCATTAGTTCTTTCTCTGGGAAGTGGATAGCATTTTTCATCATGAGTGCTTTGGAACTGTCTTGGAACATTGTATTTCTGAGAAGAGCTAAGTCATTCATAGTTGATCATCCTTACAATATTGCTGTTACTGTGTAAAATGTTCTCCTGGTTCTGCTCACTTCATTTTGCATCAGTTCATGTAAGTCTTCCAGGTTTTTCTGAAAGCATCTTGCTCATTATTTCTTATAGCACAATAATGTTCCATTACGATCATATACCCCAATTTGTTCAGCCATTCCCCAATTGATGGGTATTCCTTCAATGTCCAGTTCTTTACTACTACAAAAGGAGATGCTATAAATGTTTTTGTACAAATAGGTTCTTCCCCCTCTTTTTTTTTTTAAATGTCTTTGGGATACAGACCTAGTAGTGGTATTGCTGAATCAAAAGGTATGCATAGTTCTATAACTCTTTGGGCACGGTATCAATTTGCTCTCCAGAATGGTTGGGTTAGTTCGCAACTCCACCAACAGTGCACTAGTGTCCCACTTTCTCTACATTCCCTCCAACATTTATCATTTTCCTTTACAATCTGATAGGTATGAGGTAGTACCTCAGAGTTGTTTTAATTTGCATTTCTAATCAATAGTGATTTAGAACATTTTTTCATGACTATAAATAGCTTTGATTTCTTTATCTAAAAACTGCTTTTTTATATCCTTTGATCATTTATCACTTGGAGAATGACTTGTATTCTTAAAATTTTGATCCAGTTCTCTACATATTTGAGAAAAGAGGCACTTATCAGAGACACTTACTATAAAAATTGTTCCCCAGCTTTCTGCTTTCCTTCAAATCTTAGTTGCATTTGTTTTGTTTTACAAAAACTTTTTAATTTAATATAATCAAAATTATCCATTTTACATCTTGTAATGCTCTCTGGCTCTTGTTTAGTCATAAATTCTTCCCCAAAATGGTACTATAAATATCTTTGTGTATATGGTGCCTTTCTTATTGCCATTGGCCTCCTTGGGGTATATACCTAGCAATGAAATCTCTTGGCCAACGGGTATAGGCATTTTATGTACTTTTTTCCTGTGATTCCAGATTGTCTTCCAGAAAGGTTGGACCTATCAGCAGTATATGACTAAGTCCATCTTTCCACAGCCTCACTTAGAACAACTATTCCCTTCTTTTGTCATCTTTGACATTTTACTGAGTTTAAAGTGAAATGTCAGAGTTGTTTTGATTTATGTTTGTCTAGTGATTTGGACCTTCCTTTTATATGGTTGTTAGTATTCATTTCTTTTGAAAATCCTTCCTGTCTTTGACCGCTTATTAGTTGAAAATGGCTTTTGGTCTCATATATTTCTATTAGTTGTCTAAATATCTTGGATATAAAAGATATTTGATACAAAGTTTTTTTTTTTTTCTGAGCAACTGTTTACTTTCTTATCCTGCTTACAAAATTATCACTTTCTGCAGATGGTGTACTTAGAGAACCCAAGAGAGCCAACTAAAAAATTAATTGAAGCAAAAAGTAACTTTAGTAAAATTGCAGAAAATAAACAGAATCCACACAAA